TAAATTATTTTAATTAAATAATTAATTAAATAAATATTAAATTTTTTTATAACAATTAATATAAAAAAGTGATATTAAAGGCACATTTAAAAAAACAATAGCCTCAAAAACGAATAACTCAAATAAATCATGCGCAGGCTAGTGAAGGATAGAAACACCAAGAGAAATGAGCATTCTAGAGAAAAAACCAGAGACAGTTCCTCCATCATTTTCCATAATATTTTCATCTTAATTGACATATTTTTGTAAGAATAATGATAAATGAGATCAAAATTTGAGATTAAAATTTAAGATATTATTTAAAATATTAAAATATAAACTTTATATTATTTAATAATTAACTTTTTTTATTTTTTTAAGACTTGTGATATTGTATGTATAAGATAATTTAATGATACAATACTTTATTCTACATCGTTAATTCTAAATTTTTGTTTCAATTTTTCATCTTTCCTATTATTACTCGTTTTGTAATCTCCTTTCATTGAAAACAAAATATCTTAAATTCAAGTTATATTACATACAAATAGTTAAATTAAAGGAATGTGAGAATATTATCTCTAATTATAGAACCTAAAATAATATATATATTTTTTATTTCAAGGACAGAAATGAACTAAAAAAATAAAAATAAAATTAAAATCCACATATAATAAATTGATGCATGTTTCCACAAAGGGTGAAATGCACATCATTATAATTTTGCCACACGGTACAACTGCACAAGTACAATTTCCCCTTGTTTCTATTCGAATAGTCAAGGTCCTCAAGGACTATTGTCAAAGAGACTAAAACCAAGATGAGAAATCGTTACACTGTTTCAGTAGGCTCTGAGCAACATTGATGAATTGAATTGAATTTCTATTTTGGTTGGTAAACCATAATCAATGCTCATCTTCGAGGAATTCTTTGTTCGTTTTAACCGAGAAACCGAATCCAACTAGTTGCAGTTTTAGTTTAATGGTTCAAGTTGGGTATTTCATATTTGTGTTTGCTTATTAATGCAGTGTTTTGTACTCTATACTGCAAAATACCAATTACTAGATACTCATTATTAGGAGCCTTTTGTTATCCTATAATTAATGCTTTGCAAACTGGTGTAGTCCATATGATAAAACATTTCTTTTGTTTGCTTATTTTAGTTATTTCAACAACAAAAATACATTCTAGATTGTTGATGTTGGTATGTACTAAGGAATAATGTAAACTAATACATATATTGAAAAAAGTTTTTTATTTTATCGTTTACATTATGTTAAATTATAAAATAAAAATTATTAAATAAAAGAAGGAAGACACAATGTTAGGGCTGCTCCCATTCAAATTTTAATGGCTAAAGTTATGAAGTTCAAAACAAATCCATCTAAACAATACCTTTTTATATTGAAAAAACAAGTTTAAAGGCCTGTTTGATATAATAGTTAGAGGTAGTAATTAGTAGTTTTACCCAAATTGTTAAAAATAGGTATTTAGTAAATTTATTTATTTTAAAACCATTACAAATTAAATATTTAGTAAAACTTTTTATTTAATGATTTGAGATTAGTGTCTAGCGGTTAGGATTCAAACAGTTAGCAGATTGAAAAATCTATTTAAAATAATTTTTTGTACCAAACTGTTAATAAATTGAAATTTTTTTATTTTATTAACAAATTTATTCTTTTTAATTTTTTAATTTTTGCTCATAGTTTTTAATTAATACTTATCTAATTAGTTTCAACTTTATTTTTTTGGTTTTAATAATATTAAATAATTATTATATCTTTATTTTGACACTAATTTATTATAAAAAAATATATTAACTTGATAAATAAAATTTACTAATTAAACAGAAATATTAAAATTCTTTTGTATTTTATTTAAAACTAATATAATTTTTTTGTTATTAAAAATAAAAATTAATATATGATTACACTTTTATGATTTATTCATTTATTTGTTTATTCATTATTATTTAATAAAATTAATAATTTTAATAATAAAAAATATAAAGATAAAACACTTAATTATTTTTAAACATGTCCTCGTCAGTCATTTAATTTTAAATAACAATTATTAACTATTATATAATCAAACAGTTATATTAATCAAATATGCTATTTACTATCTATTATTTACTTTCCATTATCTGCCATTTATGTTATCCACTATCTACTAACTACCATATTCCACTCGTTATTGCTATTTACTACCTACTTTTTACTAAATTTTGTTAGAATCACTTGTAGACGAAGCAACTTGTATATTCTTGTTAGAATGTTCGGATCATACGACAGGTTGTCTCAGGATGTTCCATTAAGCATCAACATTGTTGTAATAATCTTTATGGATTCTAAAAAATTTTCTCCCTGTTTCCGGATTCTCAAGGACCGTTTTGATGTTGTAGCAATTTCCACATTGCTTTGTCATTTCTGGAAAAAGCAAAATTTACTCCTTTCATCCCAAAATGTAGGCGTTTAACTATGGTTGCGTTGAATACATACCCATGTTCCTCTGTCCGACGTGCTGCCCATAATAAAGCTTTGTTACTACAAAATTGATGGTTCAAGTGCCCCTTAGTTGCACGGCTTTCAATTTCTATCTTGTTCTAAGGAACAGAAATATAGTAGAACTATAAATTCAGTGGTCATTTATATGTAGCAAGTTCCCCGACCCAATGGATTTTTGAACATGTAATTCATTTGGATCCTCCCATGTTCTTTTTTCGTACGTGGGATGGCAGGATTCAAACGTTAACTTTCCAAGGCCTCAGCATGTTTTTAACTACTGAACCGATGTCTCATAGCCACTAACATACCAAATTTAAAAGAATATGAGATGAGAGAAAAGAAACTTTAAATAATGAGGGAAAATGGAAGAATAATTCCTGACAATGTGAATGTTGATGAATGTCGAGGCAAGGTATCCACTGGCTACGCTAAGTAAGCAAGGAACTCTTTTGTGCTGTCATTCCGTTTAGATTATTCCTCCTTTTACTTTATCCATGTCTTATGCTCATAATATAAAAGACATTCCTTATTTGCCTCTGTCCCTAAGTAAGTAGTAACCCTCATAGATTGTTTATTATGGCTCAGAATTTCTGTATACTTCTCTGCATCTTCATTATTCTTGTTTCAGGTAAATTTCTCTCCTAGGAAAACAGTCAGATTAAAAGAGCACAATTTTCTTGTTATAATAGTTTTATACTTGGCAGGTGCCAAACTGTATGTAAATGCTGCAAATTTTACCTTGGTGAATCAGTGCAAAGAGATAATCTGGCCTGGAATCACAGCTCACAACAACTACTCTGCCCAAGGTTTCACGTTGCAACCCGGCCAGACAACCTCCTATAATGCCCCGGATGGCTGGAGTGGCCGCCTATGGGCACGGACAGGTTGCAGTTTTGGCAAAAATGGTGGTAGTGACAACTCTACATGCCAAACTGGTGACTGTGGCCCTTCTCTGAACTGTACTAGACTCAGTAGCCTGCCAATCACCCTTGTTGAATTCTCTGTTGGAAATAATGGATCGGTTGATTTTTATGATGTCAGCCTTGTGGATGGATTCAATGTTCCTGTTGCAGTGCAGCCTGTAGATGGTAAAGGAAATTGCAGTACTGTTGGCTGTGATGGAGACTTGAGGGATAGTTGCCCATCAGAGCTTGCTGTGAAGTCCAACGGGAAGGTCACTGCTTGCAGGAGCGCCTGTGATGTGTTCAACACTGATGAATATTGCTGTCGTGGGGCATTTTCAGACCCTGCGGCATGTCTGGCAACAAATTATTCCAGGAGTTTTAAACAAGCATGTCCTGCAGCCTCTAGCTATGGTGGTGATACCCTTACGGTAACATGCTCTGCATCAGAATACATTGTTGCCTTCTGTGCATTAAGGTAAGCAATACACACACACACACACACATCTTCATGCATGAAAATTGAATCTTATCTGATAATCTTTTCTAGAACAAAAACACCCACGTGTGGATAACCATATAAGAAGGATATTCATCAGATGTTATGATGCTTACCTAATATTTGGGTGATGAATCTATAGGAACAAGATAACTTGCACCTATCATGATCATAAAGTTGTCTGTACCAATACTAGTGCATCCAAGGGCTTCAAAGCAATCCCAGGAAGCTGGTGGAGTCTAATGCTGGCATTACCTTTCACTTCTCTTCTGCACACTTTCCTTTTGTAAGATCTGTACTGCAAAAATTGGAGGCGTTCTTGTTTTGTTTCTCATATTTCTTCCTTTTCTGAAGCCAACGGCACAATGTGTAGTAGAAGGAAACAAATATCTACACCTGCTTTTATTTATTTATTTTTTGGTAGAATCTCTAGCTGCTTTTTGTACATCAAATTATACAGTTATTCCTTAAGACCCTTCAGAGTTAGCATTGCAATTGATAAAACCATCAATCCCACAGGAAAAAACATATGACAGCAGATTTCTAAGACCAAAAATACACAGTCAAGGAACATTGTCATGGAGCTAAGAGAGTTAAGGCCGAGAGAAGCCAAAATATGCATCCTAATATGAGGTAACCATGATTACATTACACTAATATGAGCTTTTGGAAGAATAAAAAGCCACATTGTGTACCATTGTAGTGTTTCTTGCCCAGATAAACACAAATAAGCAGATCAAGTCTCGAAAGTGCTCACTTTAAGAACAAAAATAAACATAAAATGCTACATAAAACCTTTTTCTTTTCACTTTAACACATTTACTAATGACTTTCCCATTAATCCATTTTCCCCTTAAAATTACTATCTCACTTCTTCTTTCCTCTCAAAATAGATGTGATATTCATTTCCTTCTCCACTAAAATAATCCCATTACAAAACAGAAACGAAGTCCCACCATCAGATTACATATTAGCAACCAGAAAATCTCCTCAACATGACAACATGGATCAAAACAAGAGTTTTACTCAAACTTTAAGCTTGACCCAAGAAGGGAAACGAAAAACTTGAATTAAAACTTGCGGGTATCGATTTTGTTTAGCTTTTTTCTCCATCAATCCCCCAGATTCTGACCCAAAACTTGCAAATGTATTTGTTACAAGTGGAAGGGCTTTGGGCAGCAGGTACTCCTTTGACGTGGGTAACTCCGATTTTAGTACTACATATCCTCGTTTCCTTTCCTTTTCACGGGATTTTCAAGATACACAGTAAAACTTTACATGCCTTTCTGGGTATTCAAGATTTGAGCTTCACAGCCTGGACAATACGTAAAAGAAAACATATTTCTTGTTCTTATATTAAAATTTGAGAAAATTTTCGGTCCAAGTTGAAATTTCCACTTTTTACCAATAATGAAGATCCACCTATGCATTATTAAAAAGCTTTTTTCCCTGAGTAAAAGAACGAGAAGAAAAAAGAAAAAGAAAAGATAACAAGTTATATAGAATATTTCATGTACCATTTAGTGTAAATTTTAATATTTATGTGCGTTGAGGGATGAATTTACATGATTGCATAACTAATGATATGTGCGAATCCACATTAGTAAAGGACCACGATACTTATCTTCTCACATTCGACGTGTAATTCCAATGTTCTACTAATTGCCATTGTGGAATTAACATCGCCAAAGGGGGGCACTTATTCACTTTGTTGGAAATATTACGGAATGTGACTCACTCCAGCATCTCTCTCCACACACATGGCCAGACATGGCTAAGTTTATTTCGGCGGCATGGCTAGGCACTTCTTGACGGCCATGTCATCTACAACAATGTTCTTTGCCGTATCTCACGACTCCCAACAATGGACAAAGAGCTTATTTTGCTACATGACTCCCATCAAACGACAACGGGCTGATCTATATAGCTCCCAACGATGGACAATGGGCCAAGCATCCACTCCTACATATTTTTATCACTGGTTTCCATCAATGGACAACAGGCTGATCATATTACACTTAGACAGCTCCCAGCAATGAACAAAGGACCAGATCTGTTATATATCTATTTCACTAGCTCTCAAAAACGGACAAAGAGTCAGTGCAACTCGGTACGATTAGCGTAAGGCCGGTAACAGTTGCAACCCTGCAATCGAATGAGATGGCTACCCTCTAGTGATGAAAATCCATCAAGTAGCGGCTGACGGTCCTTTGGTGGTTGCCCGTGCATGGTGGTGTGGTGCCGTGCCCCGCAGGCAATAACAACCAGGACCACCCTCTGACGGTGCGGGTACAACAAGAAGGGTCAGTATTTGTCAATGGTATCACACCTTGTCGTATTTGAGGCTATGGATGTAGCTGGCGTCCCTCTTCCATTTAGACAACTCCACCTCTCTCTATCACATCTTCATCGCTATGACAGAGTTTGGTTTAACGAGATTTACCCCTTCGTGACTTGGTGGATTAATGGGAGTGCTCTTATGATTCCACGTAGTTCACGCTCCAGCCATGGACGAAGCTAGCCACTGTTGTCCCTTTGGCTATAGGAAAGCTATCCATGGCTGACCCCATAATACTTATGCAACATGGCTAGCGGTCATGTATATTATCATCTTTCTATCCAAAGGGACAAAGTTACCGATCGATGATAATCCCAATCTATAACATATCTCTTTTATATTCTAAGTTTAAGTAGGTGTTGCCAGCCAGCGAAGCTTGGCCCGGGATAACGATATCACAGCACACACCCATGTCATCCATTCTCTATTCTGGCACAACACCAGCCATGCATAGCAACAATATAGTAATACCTGCCACGACTAGCGAATAAATGGGAGCAATGAACATTTGCCCACATGATCTTCCTTGACATATAAGGGAGTTCCTTTATTCGCTGCGTATATTCACATACTACTTGTATTTAAAATACTCAAATATATGCTTATATGTACTTTGTTATTATCGCAGATAAGCGCAAGCCTATGAAGCCAAGCTCATGGGAATTACTCAGGATAAACTATGGGAGTAGTGGCTTGGCAGGCATGGATGGGTGAACGTTGCTTGTCTGGCGAAGCAAGGCATTCGCGCTGGCGAAGCTTGGCGTTGGCAATGTTGCCCGATTTCGCCAGAAAAGGTTGGGTGGCAAAGGTGTGGAAACAAACTTAACTCTCGGAACAGTACCCTTTGATGTTAACTAGAGGCTGGAAATCCCGTTGAAGACCAACTGAAGATGCCGCTTGAGTCATTATCAGCAACTAGCAGCCATATTTAATGCAAGGGTGACTGCACAAGTTTCATGGCTTTGGAAACTATTATGGAAGATCACTATTTGCTTGCAAAATCTCCCAAAATCACGTACAGAGCTCTGAGAACTTACCAAATCATTGTGCAGGTGGTGTTTCTGCCAATTGCACTCAAACATCCCCCAAAAACGAAGTTTTGTATGGCTGGGAGAATTTCTAATAATGGTTAGTTTCCAATCCATCATTGGAACTAGGAAGCATCGTTGGAACTAGCGAAGCTTCGTTGGAACCAACGAGCAATTCATGATGCTAATGCTAGAGCAGTCGTCAGCAGTGCATGGAACCACTCTAAACTTGACAACTCACCTGGACCCATCTGTACATTTCTGACATATTAAGTGGAATTACAAAACTACCCCTGATTGCATATATCATCCCTCCCTTGCCATTCAAAAAGGGACAAACAGAATAACCTAGATCTTATTCTCATGCACCAAATCCCCATTCTTCCTCTCTCATAAAAATTACTCCACCTGCAATCCATTATCCCGCATGTTAAAAACTACCCAGAAACCATCGTTTCTCTGTATCTCTAATATTGTAGAATGATCTCTAGCCTCACGTGATAATCTCCAATATCGCAGAGTATTCCCAAATTTGCAATATATTATGGCTGGGAAGCAACAGCTTACAATTCCATCTCCCATGTAATTCTTCTTGAGCATCAGACAATCAAGCCGCATGGTTAGCATCAAAGAATGGGATTGAGAGTTCCACCCATAAGCGTCCCCAAGCAGACACCTTTCCTTCTCTCATTAGTATTTTCGAGTTTATCCTTTTCTTGTTTTCTTTGTTCCTGAAGAAATTTCAGAAGGAGGGTCGTTACGCCCTTCGTGTTTAACATGAGAATTGTGCATTACAAGGTGAAAATGTTCACTAGAGATGACAGAGGTTTTATTTGGTGTGATTACTACTATGTCATGGTGTTCTATGTGTAAAAAGCAACTTCAAAATTGTAATATTTGAACCCCATATGTTTATCATTCGTCACCCTTCTAGCCATATATGCATATTCTTATTGTTGATTTTGATAGTTGTGTAATCATTCCGAGTTTGCAAGAAGTTTGCTATCGTTGTTCGGCTCCAGTAGCTTGGCTAGGGGATTTATGTTCTGCAACTTCGCTTGGGAGCCTATTGTGTGATATCATCGCTGGACAGAATGGGATGACGGGTAACATGTAACCATCTGCACGAAAGACGGATGCCACAGAAAGAACCCCTCCTCATCTCCGCAGGTGTCATCCTAGTCAGCCTCCACATCATCACTATTGCTGACTCATCAATCTACATCATCACCACACTCCAACAATGTGCAGATGCTAAAATTTGAAGTTTTTATATGCATCGCCTTAATCATAAGTAATTAAATTATATAAATATTTAAAATTTTTACTATTTATGAATAGATTCTTAAATAAAATAAATTAATTATATAATTATATATAATATTATAAATATAATATTTTCATTTTTAATTACATGCGAACCGAAAAAAATCTCTCTTAAATTAATTACGAAATTAGATTTTTAATTATAAACTGCCCAAAAGAAAACAGTTCTGATTAAAATTTATTTTTTCTCTTAAAATTAGTAGGGCTGGGATTTTTTTTTTTACCGAAACTGAGGTTGGTCCGAAACAGACCGAAACTGACATTGTTCGGGTCGGACTTAAACGGGCTTCGGTGCCCAGTAATCGGGCTTCAGTGCCCAGTAATCGGGCTTCAGGTGTACCGAAGCCCAATCGAGCAGTGATCAGTTTCTGGGCCCAAAAACTGATCACCGACCTACTAGGCCAAGTGAAACCAAATTAATCATTTTTTTTAGACATGACATAAGAATAATTTTTTTATATATTTTTTATATAATTTTTATATGTTATGAAACAGCTAAATGCACTTAATATTATAAGTTAAAATAAATAAAAAAATAATAATTATTTAAATAGTATATAAAATTATATAAAAAAATAATATAAAAAAATTATCTAAAAATCATTTAAAAAA